CATGGTTTTTCCACTTAACCTATTATACAAGTGGTTAACATTTCCCCATGGTCACTCTCCATATGCTTTGTGGTAGCTGGGCATAATAGGAAGGCAAGCTAAAGACAGCCTTGATTTAGAAATGGAAATTCTTGTTAGACGGCTTTGTGGATTTTGTCAGTGCTTCACACACTTCATGTTATTGCAATTTAGGTTTTAATTCAATATGTAGAATACAAACCCATCCAGCTCACTCATGTGTGAGATTTGGAGAAGTCCACATTAGTTACAGATGGCCATATCTTATTGTCCTCCATTTTGGCAAAATTTCCCACTAAAGACAATTAAAGTTTTGACTGTGTGAGGACTGAAAAACGTGGCCGGTTTTATTGTGAAGATGATTGGTCTGAGTTTCAGAGATGCAGCGCACCCACCCCCCAGTGAAACCAGTGGGAACTGTTGATGTTCAGTATTTTTGAATATTAAGCCACTGGCTCATGTTGACAGTATATATTAAAAAAATCTTACGGCTAAATGAAGGCCTGGTGTAAGTGGGTGCAAATCCATGGAAAGATAACGGCGTTACACCTGCTTACAGCAAGGCTGATGTTGGCTCTTAGAAATCATTTCCCTATGAGGTGGATACTGTTAGATGTAGGCCTTATTCATTCCAAAGTCTGTTTGTTCCTAGATTCAAGTTTCTTGGCACGTTGGTGGTCACAGAGGGTGAAATTCCACCCTACACAGAGGTCTGGAACTAGGACTATAGGACATTTGCATACCATTTATTTCATCATAGGGATTAAGTAGAGCTGATTTTAAAATTTCCACTGAAACATGAGTTTTTTTTTATAAAATGTGGCTTTTTGATTAAATTTTCATGAAAATTTCTGTTTTGTCGGTTTCTGTCAAAAACAAAATGAATTGTATAGGCCTTGCATGGGCTTAGTAGCTGTGTTGTTATCATTAGCTATGCACTATTTCAGTATGAAGTAAAGATTCCTTTAAACAGCATTAACCTCACCTCTTTCAGCTCTTCATAGGTTATCGCCATAACATTTTCATCATCCATGTGCTTGTTCCATTCAGCTAAATAATCAAAATAGGAGCCCCAACACACTGGAGAAAAAAACCCCAGAAAATCAGAATGATTCAGTAATAATGAGGTAAAGATGAACTGAGACAAGGAATGTGGACTCCTTTTATAGGCTTAGGATGACTTCATGGTGTCAGACAGGGTTTTGAGGTGAGGACTACAGTAACACGTTTTGCTACTGCTCTTCTGAATAGGAACAATAAGTGTTCCTTCCATCTGACGGCTAGTACTGGCCACTAATGGAAGAGCACACATCTGGTAGGTGAGTAATTCTTAACCTGGGGTGCACGCACCCCGTAGGGGTGCGAGATGCCCTTTTTGGGGGTGCGAGACATGGCAGATTTTTTTAGAAGGTAAATCATTGAAAACACAAATTAAGCACAGGCATGTAAGTACAACTACTTTGTTTCATCAAATCTATGTATTTATTAACATTATACGTTTTAAGGGGTGCGAGAAGGGTGATAAGGGGTGCGAGAACATATTTTGAGAACCAAAGGGGTGCAGGCTGCAGTAAAGGTTAAGAACCACTGTACTATATGGAAAGGACTAAACACCCTCTTAACCACTTTCCAGCCAGCTGAACATTCCAGCGCACTCCTGTTTGCCATGGAGACATCCTGTCTGACTGCTGGCTGGGTCGGAAAGGAGGCTCTCCTTTGCACTGTTCCCTATCACTGAACCAAAAAATCCAAAAAAGAATCTGGCTTGAATTGAACCAAAAACAATGTTTAATTTTTTATTTATTTTTTTGCTGAATCAAAGAAGTAGAAAAAAATAGTTTAAAATCAACCAAAATGTTTCACTTGACTCCAAACAAATTTTATTTTGAGTTATTCATTTTGATCCAGCCGTTTTGGATTCTTTTCACCCTTTTTGTAGTCTTTTCTTTAACTGACCAAATTTGAAAGTGAAATGCGATTTTGAATAGAAAAGTTTAACAAAATATTTCAAACTGAAACAATCAAAATGAAATGATTCAGAATGATTGAAACAAAATGTTTCCTTTGTTTAGAAATTTTATTTCCAAACAAAACTATTTACCAAATTCAGCCTGAAGTCAGCAAATACTTTTGACTCCCGAAAAGCAATTAGTTGAAAACATTTTGCTCACCTCTATTCCCTTCTTTATGCACCAGTGGGAAGAATTTTAGCCTTCTACCCACTAAATGAATTCAGCTTATGCATAGATTAGCAGAAAAAAAGTATAGGGGGAAGTTGTTTTGAGTTGGAATATTGGGTTTGGATTTCTAGGCCAGCATGCTTATACCTATTGTGACAAAGCTCTGTCCTTGTCTCCGTGGGTCCCGCGTTTCCTGGCAGATTTCGCTAGCCTCAGAGGCTCACTGTGATCTTCTACATAGCCCTTCTCTCTAGAGGCAAGGGTCACAGTCTACTGAGCCATTTTCATCATAAGCCAGCAAGGGAGGTGAGGAAAAGCTATCCTCCCTTGCACCGTCTCTGTTGTCTCCCAGTCTGGGTGATTAATTAGGGGGGCCCAGGCCCACCCTCTACTCCGGGCTCCAGCCCAGGGACCCTAATAGTATCAGCTATGGTAGCTGACTTTTTAGAAACAGGATGTGTACAATTCCCTGGGCTACTTTCCCACAGCAGCCCCCCACTTCCTCAAGATCCACTTCACCCTTACCTCAGGGCTTCCTTCCTTGTGCCTGATATGGTGTGTACTCCTAAGCCTCTCCAACAGCCCAACTTCCTCCTACAGCTCCTGACAGGCACCCCCACCTGACTAACTGGGAGGCTTTTAACTAGTTTCAGCCAGCCCCTGATTGGCTTCAGATATCCCAATCAACCTACTGTCCTCCCTGCCTTCCAGAAAGATCTTAATTGGCCTCAGGTGTCTTGATTAACCTGGAGCAACTGCCATTTGGTTACCATGGTAACAGGGATTTGTTTAGCCTGGGGCTAACATACCTGTTTCTCACTGCTTTCCTATAGCCATCTGGCCTTGCCCCGTCACATAACCCCCCTCCCCCTCTGCTCAACACCATAAAGTTCGGCAACTTGGGACACCAGGCATTGCTGTGGTGGCATCCAGCCCTGTGCCGTATGCTGAACTGGAACGGTTGGAGGGATAAGAACCACCTGGTGACCCTTGCGTTCTTTTCCTTATTCTGCTGCATCCACTGGAGGGGTACATGGTCCACCACAAGAGTAAATTGCCGACCTAAGAGGTAATAACACAATGTCCCCATAGCCCATTTGACAGCAAGACATTCTCTCTCGACTACTGCGTACTTCTGTTCTCTTAGGAGCAGCTCTCTGCTTAGGTAGAGGATCAGGTGTTCTTCTTCTCCAACCATTTCTGACTGAACCAACCCCAACCCCAACTCAGAAGCATGTGTTTGTAAAATAAATTCCTTGTTAAAATCCAGGGCTATGAGTATGGGGTCATTACAGAGGGCCGTCCAAAGGTCTATGAATGCCCCCTCTGCTGCATCAGTCCACTTCACCATGTCTGGACCTTGGGCCTTCACCAGTTCCGTTAGGGGACTTGCCCTAGTGGTGAAGTGGGGAATAAAACGTCTACCATGCCTAGGAACGCACGGGCCTGCTTCTTTCAGGCCAGCCGGGGCCAGCTTTGAATCGCCTCTAGCTTATTCGTTTGGGGCTTCACTATGCCCCTTCCTACAATATATCTGCTAGCCCTATGGCGCATTTAGCAGGATTAGCGGTGAGGCCAGCCCGCCTTATGGTGCGCAGTACTGCCTCAACTTTCTCCAAGTGGGTTCCCCAGACTGGCATATGGATGACTACATCATCTAGGTACACAGCTGCATAACTAGTATGGGGGGCGCAGCAGCTTATCCATGAGGTGCTGGAATGTGGTCGGGTTCTCATGTAACCCGAAAGAGAGGACGGTGTACTGGAATAGCCCGTCCGGGGTGGAGAACGCTGTCTTATCTCTAGCTTCTTTAGTCAGTGGAATCTGCCAATACCCTTTTGTCAGATCTAGTGTAGTCAAGAATTGGGCACTACCCAGTCGATCAACCAGTTCGTCCATGCGTGGTATGGGGTATGCATTGAATTGGGATATTTCATTCAGTTGGCAAAAGTCATTACAGAATCTCGTGGTACCATCAGATTTAGGCACTAGAATGATTGGACTGGACCAGTGACTGTACGATTCTTCAATAACCCCTAATTCTAACATTTTCTTTACTTTGGCCTTGATTTCTTCTCTTTTGGCTGCTGGGATACGGTAGGGTCTCAATGTTACCTTGGCTCCACGGATCATGCAGATATGGTGATATGTCTCAGTTGTCTACCCTGGTTTTGTAGAGAACACATCTTGGTTGCGATTAATCACATCAGTTGCCTCAATCTTTTGGATCGGCATCAAGTTCGGTGATATCCTCACTTGCTCATGTACGTTATCCTCCTGGGGAAGGGTCTCCAGGGTGACTAAGCATGCCTCTCGATCATGCCAAGTGTCCTCCCTGCCTTCTGGAAAGATCTTAATTGGTCTCAGGTGTCTTGATTAACCTGGAGCAACTGCCATTTAGTTACCATGGTAACAGGGATTTGTTTAGCCTGGGGCTAACATACCTGTTTCTCATTACTTTCCTATAGCCATCTGGCCTTACCCTGTCACACTATTTTAATAAGTACTGTATTAGCATAGTAGGTAATATAACTCATATTTAATTTCCTAAATCTGTGTTTCAGACTATATAAAATTCAGGGTAATGGTAGTCAGGCCGTAAGAGCTTACATGACTTACACAAGATCACAGAGGGAGTCCGTGTCAGCGAATGAATTCTCTTGATTTCAGGGGTCACAGGCTGATTTCAGTTACATCATTTATAAATCTAGAATAACTCTAACTAAGACCATGAAGTTCTTCCTGAATTATAACATTAAAACTGAGATGAGAATCTGCCCTACGTCTTCCTGAATCCCAGTGCCCAGTTTTGCCAATCCATTAATTAATCAGAATAGCTAAAAAACAGAAAAACAGCGTGTACATTTTCCATGCATAAAAGCTGTAAAATACTCATCCCATGAGCCGAAGGAGGGACGTGTAGGTGTATTGTTGTAAAAATGGAAGTAAGATACAGCGGTGTCTTTTAGATTTCGAACCAGCAGCAGTATCTAAAAAAATAAGTAAATAAATTATTTGTTTAAAGCTTAAAAGTTGATACAAAAAAGTTTGTACTTTTCCTAGCACAATGAGATCCTGGTCTATTACTAGGGCTCTTGGCGCTATGGTAATACAAATAATTAATAATAATTAAGAAAAAGTTTATATTTGTTTAACAATCACAGCATCAGTAGAATCAGTTTAATTAATTTTACCTTATTTGAAAAATAAGGAATGGCTAAGCTCAGTAGTAGGGTATTTCTGCTGAAATGATAGCAGAGAAACAGTAAACATTTAAATTGTCAGCATTAGGTTTCAGTGTTCATGCACCATGTAGACGAATGGGGCCAGTTTACCCAATCTAAAGCTATTCTTTCAGCTGTTTGCTGTCCCAGTACATAACACTGTATCAGTTCACATGCAGAAATCTTATCTTCACAACCATAAAACCTAGATGGAATCATAGAAAACACAAGGTACTGCATATAACATAGAGGAAATCCAAACGGGTCTGAAAATGCCATTACAGTGGGTATTGTCTACGATACTGTAAATGAGGACTCACCTTGGCCTTGCTTTTGAAAATAGATTTCGGCAGGACTTGAGGAGGGAGATGTGTTATTATGATTCTTCTGAAAGGTAATTCCTTCATCCTCTTTAAATAAAATTGGAAAGAAACATAGAATTAAATAGCCTCTTAAATAGAATGTTATCTTTTTGAGAATTATTTGTTTTAAAAAATTAGACTTAGCAGGAAATAATATTTCTTTCCTGCCAATCCAGAGGGTGACTATTTCACTACCATTAATATACAGCAAAATCTAATACAAATTAGCATTAATTTTTCCATGTTCTTCTTGAATCTCTCATTTCTTTCAAACTTTAACTACCAGGCTCCCAATTATTAATGTTCCTCTAATGCCCTCTAGTGAATGTGGTCCCACGTATACTGTGCAAGACCCAGTTCTAACAGTATTTCCTGCCTGACTAGAAATAGGGGGCCTGTTTTTTGAGATGTCCAGCTGAATCTAGGCAGAACCAGTGATACACTCATTATCTAATGGCTGACAAAAAGCACTTCTGTTCTCCAAAACCTAACTCTTACACGTTCAGATAAACAGAACTAGCAAACCTCTCTGCAATAGCACCCTCTAGTGACTCCCAGAAAGGGTGCATTTACTGATATCTCAAGGGTGGCTTTGTGGCCAAGCAGATGGATAGAGCACTAGACTGGTACTCAGGAGACCTGGGTGTTTTTACACAAGTAATTTCTCCATTCTGTGCCTCAGTTTCACCTTCTGTAAAATGGGGATAATGATACTTACCTCCTTTGTAAAGTGCTTTGAGATCTGCTGATTAAAAAAAGCTATATAGGGCATGGTATTATTATGTGTGACTAATGAATATCTTTCTACAGTTCCAAAAAGGACTGTTCACCATGTCACAAAAATCAGCATCAGAGCTCTGTCTAATTGTCCTTAGAGATGGGAAATCCAGTTCAAACAGAATAAAAGCCAACCTAAATCTTGAACCAAACCCTTTTTTTTTTTCCAGTTTG